GATTTGTGCAAGAAATTGTTCCGTAACTGGAGAGAATATGGTAATCCTCGGCCTTCTGATATGCTTCAGTAAAATAAGTGATTAAATGACAATCAAAACATGGATATTACAAAAACTGTACCTTAGTGCTATATTTTAACTCTGCTACTGCCAATTTGCAAATGAAGTATCAGAGTCAATGTTTAGTTTGGCCAAAATTATTCAACTTACCTATATTGATGCAGAATTTCCTCATAAAATCACCTTACATAATGTTTTCCTGCACATAGTTTCTTCCTGTTTAGTTTCCTACTTTGAGCTACATCAAGAAAAATAATGAAATAATAAAGAAACTAATAATTACTGCATTGTAATCTGTAACTAATTTTAAGAGAAGATAAAATAGAAAAGGCTATTTAGTGATAGAGACTGCTAATAGAAAAATATCTTCCTTTCTGATGCACTATGCTCTAAAAGGTTAGAGGCTGAGAAATTTTCCATCTGCAGGCTGTGAAAATTTCTCTTCTCTAATACCAAATCACTGCAACTAGCTTGCTTTGCTGTTTTTATTTAAATTATTGTCCATAGGTTTATTCATGGTGTCTTGTCTCATCACCTACCTTGTATTAACTATGATGGAAGCTCTCAAAGGATAAGACCATCTTCTGTTAAAATTATTTTTATAAATGTCTTATGATTATATGCTTCGGATATTTAGTAATGCTAGAACCAGCAAACTCCAACAACATAACTTCATGAGTTTCTTTTGTTTTTTGTTTTGTTTTATTAGCTGAGCCATCCTGCCACCTCTTGGCAGCTCAGTGGCAGCTACGTTCAGGCCGGGAATTGAACCGGCGACCCTGTTGCTCAGAGCTCGCACTCTTGAGCGAGCTCTTAACCAACTGAGCCATTCGGCCAGCTCTTCATCAGCTTCTTTTGATTTAGTGAATAACATTTAAGTAGCCCCATTATGTAGTATATGACACTATAAAGTGCTGAAGGAAGAGATGGTGTAGCATTTGGTAAGGCTCATATATAAAGGTTAATGTCTATCAGCCAGTTTTGCCTTGATTTTTTAAAAAATGACGGTGTCTGTATTCGTTAATGGCTGTTCATAGCAACTTTCAAATAGTGTTTGCTAAACCTAAAACGTTTTAAATTGTTTTATATTTACAATATTTTTTGCATGACCAAATGATTCTTGTTAAGACGTGGTAAAAGCTTCTAATGAGGATAGCAGTTAAACAATGTGAGCATTAAGTTGAGAACAGAAGTGTCCACATAAATATGGTCTCTTAATTGCCTGCTCATTGAAGACCTTTGTCTGCTCCAGGACATTAAGAGGTAAATGTATATTCAGCCCTTTGGGGACTAAACTGTTCTGTCTCACATGGAAAAAAGTAAGTTACAGTGAAAAATAAGGTCCTCAGCTGGTCATTCATAATCTCAAAGGGCATATTTTATTATAAATGTCAATTTCACAAAACTATGTGTCCTATAATACATAATTATGTTCAAAATTGCATTTGAAATCTATTATTAATAGTTAAGAGTTAACATTCTTAAAATAGTTATTACTTTTGGCCTTAACACAAAAACCAATAATGGAGGTATTTTAGGAAGTTAGAAGCTGTAAGGCATTGGCCTCTCAATAAAGCCACTGCAGGTGTGTTCCTTAATGGGCTGTTAATTTTATAGCAGGTGAACACAAAGGACAGAGAACATGTGTGATTTTAAACTGTGTTTGGTGTGAAGGAGTTGATAACTGAAAAATACAAAGGCGGGGTGAAATGAGGCCAAATTGAATTTCCCTTCCTGAGGTGTAATCCCCCTGCTTAAAATCAAGGCAGTCCTCTTGTATCCCTTTTCTCCCCACCACCACATAACAAAGAATTCCACAGAAATATATATTAAACTAACACATCAGAAATCATTAAACAATATGGCCATAAATAATAAAGGTCCAATTGTCCAAAATCAACATTGTTCCACACAAACCAGCTCCTTCTAGGTTTCTTGTTTTTTGATACCAGCACGAAGTCACCCAAACTTACAATCATTGGGCCAGTTTTGACCTTCCCCTAGCCCCCACACCTAGTGTCTCAGTGTCCTAAAAACTTTGCCTCACGGTGTTTGGGTTGTGCACCACTCAACATGGGCATTAATGGGAACTTGCTAGAAATATCCATCCCCAGACCTACAGAATCATAATTTCCATTTTAACAAGACCTCCTTCTTATGCCCATGCAAGTTTAAAGAGCTCTTCCCTTACATTGTCTTCCTTCTTTTTTTTTCTTTCCTTGCTGAGGAAATACCTTTTATATTATTATAAATAACTCTCTTTGTATTATATGTATATATATTTTTTGTAAAAGCATGTAATTCAATTTTACTTTTTGATTCAGAATGATGGTTCTTACCTTTTAACACAAGTACTTAGCTCATTATTCTTCAATTATAGATATAGATATATGAAATTTATCTTTTGTTGTTTTCTAATTAATCTTTCTAGTCTGTGTCTTCCCTTTCTTGCTTTCACTTAGATAAATTATTTTTTCTCAGTATTATTTTCTCTATGCTAGTTCAAAAATAATTTTTCATTATTTACACTTGAAATTACAATAAGATTTTTAAAATTTATGATAATCTAAAATTAATTGATATTTGTACCATTCTTCAGGATGATCCAGTTTTCATCCTTCCCAGATAACATGTGATTGTTTTTAAACTTTATTGAGGAATGATTGAGAAGTATAATTGTATATATTTAAAGTATACAATGTGATGGTTTCATATACATATACATTGTAGAGTGATTATCAAGATCAAGATAATTAACACATCTATCACCTCACATAGTTAACATAGTCAACTCTTTTTGTGTGTATGGTGAGACTGTTTAAGATCTACTCACAGCAACTTTCAAGTATAAAATGACATATTAACTATAGTCACCATGCTATACATTAGATCCTCAGAACTTCTTATAACTGAAAATTTGTACCTTTTCACTTACATCACCCGATTTGAACCTCCCTCCAGCCCTGGCACCCACCATTCTATTCTCTGTTTCTATAAAATCAGTTTTGTTTTGTTTTGTTTTGTTTTAAATTCTACATATAAGTGATACAATACAGTATTGTTCTTTGTCTGGCTTATTTCACTTGGTATAATGCCCTCCAAATTTGCAGGATTCCCTTTCCTTTCATGGCTGAATAATATTCCACTTTTTGTATGTGTGTATATATCACATTTTTTATTTATTCACCCACCTAAGATATTTAGGTTGCCTCCATATCTTGGCTATTATGGATAATGTTGCAATGAACATGGATATGCAAATATGTCTTCGGGATCCTTATTTCAATTCCATCAGATAAATACCCAAGAGTGGTATTGCTGGGTCATATGGTAGTTTATTTTTTAATTTTTTGAGGAAACGCTGTACTATTTTCTAAAATGTCTGTAGAATTTTCCTTCCCAACAACAGAGTGTAAGGCTTCACTTTTCTCTACATTCTCGCCAACATGTGTTATCTTTTGTCTCTTTGATAACAACCAGCCTAACAGGTGTGAGTTGGTATCACATTGTGGTTTTGATTTGCATTTTTCCAATGATTTTTAGTGCTGTTGAGCACCTTTTCGTATACCTATTGATCATTTGTATGTCTTCTTTGGAAAAATATCTATTCAGGTCCTTTGCCCATTTTTTATTTGAATTATTTGCTTCTTGCAATTGAAATATATGAGTTTTAATATATTTTGGATATTAAACCTTTTTCAGATATATAATTTGATAACATTTTCTTCTGTTCTGTGGGTTACTTTTTCATTTTATTGATTATTTTTCCCTTTGCTGTGCATAAGCTCTTTGGTTTGATTTAATCCCACTTGTTTATTTTGCAGTTGAATAGAATGTACTTTTTCCACATGAGCTGTTGAACCCACCCTAAATTTAAACCTTCATGTAACTTCACCTGGATTATTGACCCATAATTTCTATATCATTCTTGTGTCTCCTTGCTCTAAATCATCTTACCTTATTCATTAAGGCTAGCCTTTCTAATGTACCCAAGTCTGTCCTCTCTTCTTAAAAAATGTAATGGCTTTCCATTCTTTAGTAAATAAACACTTTAGGACTGACACTCAAGGCCTTATTAATCCGATGCCATTTTTCCCCTCTAGCTCTACCTCCAACTGCTCCTCTCTATATACACTTAAGCTTTTCTCTCCTCTTGTTTTGGTTCAAGGTGTCTCTTCCATGTAGAACCTTCCCAACAGCTCTGTTGAAATTATTTCCCTCTTCTAAGGCCATATTTTATACCACTTCCCCAAAAATACCCTTTTCTGATTCATTCATTGATTGAATAAATATGTACTGATCACATACTGTTTTCCTACATTCTTGTACTTACTTGGAATAAAGCAATGAACAAAATAGCCACAGCCTCATGGAGTATATATTGTATTAAAAATAAACAGGCAATGAACAGTAAATAAGTACAACAGGTTGTATGTTAGGTGGGGATAAGTGCTAAGGGATAAAGTTAGAGCAAGATAAAGGGGGTAGAGAAAGCTAGGAATGAGGAGTATCTACCAACCAAATACCTTTCCTTCACTTGAACAACCAGATTACTTATTTTCCTTTACAATGTGGTTATTTGTGCACTTGTCATATTTTATCTCTTACATTCAAAGCTCCTTGAGACTAAGAACTGCATCTTACTCATCTTTGTATCTCCTCCAGCTTCCAAGACAGGGTTCAGTAAATAATGGTTAAAATTATGGAAATACATGTAATAGTAGTTTAATAGAAAGAGAGACTGATATAGTGGTTTGTTAAAGAGGGCTCCTTGAAAGATATTTAATTTGGGTAAAGCCTTGATAAATGGGTGGTGTGGGGAGGAAGAAAAAGCTGAGTAAGTAAGTCATTTTGATATATCTGTCCTTGAAAGACCAAAACCCATTGCTTTATAAATTAAGATTAATGTTATTTGTAATTTTCTTTACTTTTAAAACCAGTGTTTCAGAAGGGACGGGCAATAGACACCGGAGAAGTTGACATTGGTGCACAGGTCATGCAAACCATTCCACCTGGCTTATTCTGGCGTTTCCAGATTACTATCCACCATCCAATATATCTGAAATTCAATATTTCTTTGGCCAAGGACTCTCTGCTGGGAATTTATGGCAGAAGAAACATTCCGCCTACACACACTCAGGTATTTGACATTATAGGTATTTTTTTTACCCTTTTAGAGGGTGTTGGAATGACAAGTCCAGGGTTTGTGATTTGCAATGTGTGTGGGAGTCAAAGGTGAAGGCAAACCATCTTTGTAATGAGCAAATATCCAGAATTATCATGCTCAAGCAAATGAAAAAAAATGGCATTGAGAAATAATGAATCAAATTTAGCAGAGCAGATTCAAAAGAGGGAGTTTAAGAAAATATTCTTGAAACTTGGATTCTGCTTCCTGGAACATGATTATCATGAGCTTTTTTAGCCCCTTCATCTTACTTAGTTTTGGTGCCCACACCCCTTTGCTAGTTTTATATACCCATGACCCCTTGTCCCAATAAAGGAATGCACATCAATAATGGAAATGAGTCAAAAAGGCAGGTTTTTTCTTACAGTTAGAAAATTTTCCTTGTTGTTAATAACTCATATATATAAAATCTCTATGGTTTATAAATTCCTTCTATAAACTTTAGCTACCTCATTTCTCTCATTTTCTTTTCTTTATCTCTTCCTTACATGAACCCATTTGGGGCCCTGCTCCATCTAAGAAGTAGCATAAGGAATCATAACCATCTGGGGCTTGCTTTGTTTTCAACAGATATAACTGTAGTCCAAACTTTAACTTCTGGGTCAGACTAAGCAGGGAATTAGAATGACATTCAAATGTGACTCTTAAAAACAATGTTCAAGGATACATGCATGTGCTTGACCACTGATTAGGAATTAAACAGAAGGTATCTTTTGAATATTTAAATATGCTACTACAAAAATAGTAAATTATGATGAATATTCTCAAATTGTTGACTGTTTGTTTGTTTTAAAAACTATTAAACTCTAATTTACAGGGAAGATCATGGTAACATTTCTGAGAGGAATGTGTGATTTTAAGTATCTTCTATCAGGTACTTTAGTAAAATATCAAGATTCTCTTGCATAATACTAAACAAGATTTAAAAAAATTTTTTTGGTCTATTTACTTTTCAACAACTATTTTGTTTTTTGTTTGTTTTTATTTATTTATTTATTTTTTTAGCTGTGCCATCCTGCCACCTGTTGGCAGCTCAGCGGCAACTCAGCTCGGGCCGGGCATCGAACTGCTGTTGCTCAGAGCTCACACCCTTGTGTGAGCTCTTAACCAACTGAGCCACTCGGCCGGCCTCCTCAACAAATATTTTGAATACCACAAGACTGAAAGGTTTATAATATTCATAAGTATAGTGGTTTCTTCCCCAGAATTAATATACTTTCAGGTTTAAATATACTTAAGAATGAATAACATCCTCTTCTGTTTTGCCCACCTCCAAAGCAAAGACTTATGAAATAGGGCAATTAAAGTTATACATGTTCGTCAGTCTAGAAGTAAAAATAGACTCATATTTGTGTTTGTATTTGTTTCAGTTTGATTTTGTAAAACTAATGGATGGGAAACAACTGGTCAAAGAAGACTCCAAGAGTTCTGATGACAGCCAGCAATCCCCTCAGAACCTGATCTTAACCTCACTTCAGGAGACAGGTTTCATAGAGTACATGGACCAAGGGCCTTGGTATCTAGCATTTTACAATGATGGAAAAAAGATGGAGCAAGTATTTTTGTTAACTACAGCAATTGGTAAGCTACCATGGCTATTCTTTTCAATTGACAGTATAATTCTAGAAAGACACAATCAGTGATTAAAGTGATACAGATGTTATTTAAGCTTATTGCTCATTCTGCCTTAAACTCATTATTCATGAGAGGTTACTATGAGAAAGGCTTATGTTGTTGTTGTCATTAATGTTGTTTAAATGCTGAGTAAGATTTTTAAAAAATGATTTTATTGAGGAATTGGGGAAAGGGAACAGTGTTGGGGAATTGGGGGAGGAGAAAAGCCAAGTTGTTGTCCTTCAATCTTAGTTGTGCAGGGCGCAGCTAGCTCAGCTCCCAAGTCCAGTTGCCATTCAGTTGCCTATTGGCAGCTGACATCCACTCAACTCCAGGTGCTGTGTTCAATCTTAGTTGCAGGTGGGCATAGCCCACCATCCCATGTGGGAGTCAAACTGGCACCCTTGTTGTTAGGAGCATGTGCTCTCACCAGCTGAGCCATCCTGCCACTTGTTGGCAGCTCAGTGACAGCTCAGCTCAGGTGCTGCTCACTGGCCCATGTGGGAATGGAACCGGCGACCCTGTTTCTCAGACCTCATGCTCTTAACCAACTGAGCCACTCGGCCGGCCTCTGATTAAGATTTTTTTAAATGCTCCATTATTTGCTGCTATTTTTGGATACTTGCTATGCACTGTTTTATATGTTTTCAGTAGAAATATATACTGTAATTACCTGGATAATATTGCTAAGCCTACATAGAACAACTTCAGGGAAGAAGGGAATAAGTAGGTGAAGCTCTGTTAATTCAAGATCAATTTTTGAAAAAGGAAAATAAAATAAACACCTTTTAAAATGGAAAAACTAACATCAGTTCCATTCTTCTTTAGAATGACTGATTTGAGAACCAACCATTAAGATTTCAAGAACAGTCTCAAAAGATAGTAACTTGGGTCATTCAAAACCGTTTTATTTTTTAGTCTAAAAATCATCACAATAGCTCTTCCAGGGTTCTCAGGGCCTTTTAAAATATGTTCTTTTTAATACAATGTCTTTACCCACTCTAATTTATGGTTCACCCTAGTTAATCAGAGACATCTCACTCTTGTCATTTTTTTGGTGAATTCATTCCCCTTGACCATTTATGTGAATAAAGCTGAGCTCTTTAGCAATTTTAAAGTCCTGAGGGTAAACAACTCATAGACACAGTATTTTATTGTGTGAATTTTCCTAAAACACCCATCTTTTAAAAGAAGAGAAAATATTTTACAGCTGTCAGTTTTCTATACAACTCTCACCACTTTATCCTTTAGTTAACCTGTTCAACCATATGCTTAGGAAGATGTGTTGACTGTTAATAGATATACCATCTGCTCTTTATATAACAATTATGTTATATTTTTTACCTGATGCTGAAGACCTTGAGACAGTAGAAAATGGTATTCCAGCCATAAGATTATCGAAAACTTTATTCTAAAGTAAGCAGAAAGGCAATAAAAATGCACTGATGATTTTTCCCCTGGAGAAAATCTCCACTGATTTTATATGCTCAAAAGTGAAAGTATACATTAACTTAGAAAATAATATTTTAAGTTGTGGAACTGTTTTGCTACTCACAAACTCATTGTGGCAGATTCAACATGTGCACCCCTCATGATATTTTCCTATCAAGGTCCAACTTTGATAATGCAAATGCCAATGAGTTATGAAAGGTTGAGTTTCTCCTAAGAAACTGAGCAATTAGAAGGTCTGAAATATTTGTGAAGATTTTCTCTCTTCCTGTTATCTTTACCCTAAAGCTTAAGTTAGAACATTAACCAAACTATTAACCTTTTAAGGAAAATCAACAGACCCAGAAACAGGCTTGAAGTTTTTTTTCTGTCCCTTACTTCCTAACAATAAAGAACCTAACTTTGAGATACAATTGTTATTATCCAGATATCAAGCTGTCACTTTCATATACAACGTACTTGTTTTTACCTTATGCATGTCAGTTTGTTTACTTTTCTGTTGTCTTTTAAGATCAGAAGAGAAACATTTCTCTTATAATTCCACTCAAAGGGAATCCAAGTAAATTTCTGAAAAAAATACACTTATATAAGTGATTTACTCTAAATTATCCCCATTAATTTTTTATGTTGTTATCATTTACTTCTTTATTTTTATTTTAAATTAAGGTTTGTTAGGATGAAATGCTTAGTAAAGTTTCATAGGTTTCAAGTGTACACTTCTGTAATACATCATCTATATATCACATTGTGCATTTACCACTCAGAGTCAGTTCTCCTTCCATCAACATATATTTGATCCCTTTACCCTCATCTACCACCCCCCTCACTCCTTACCCTCTGGTACTCACTAAACTCTGTCTGTGCCTATGAGTTTTTGTTTCTTTATTTGTTTGTCTTGTTCCTTTGTTGCTTTCAGTTTTATATACCACATACTAGTGAAATCATATGATTGTCGACTTTTTCTGTCTGACTTATTTAACTAAGCATAATAATCTCAAGATCTATCCATGTTGTCACAAATGGCACAATTTCATCTTATCTTATGGCAGAATAGTATTCTATTGTGTATACATACCAAATCTTCTCTATCCAATCATTTATTAAAGGACACTTTGGTTGTTTCATGTCTTGGCCACAGAAAATAAAGCTGCAATGAACATAGGAATGCATATATTTTTACGGATGAATGTTTTCAGATATTTTGGGTAGATACCCAGGAGAGGGATTGCTGGGTCATATGATAATTCTAATATTAATTTTTTGAGGAACGTCCACTCTGCCTTCCTTAGCAGCTGCACCAATCTGCATTCCCACCAACAGCATATAAGGGTTCCTTTTCCTTCACAGCCTCTCCAACACTTATTTTTTGTCTTGTTGATGATAGCCATTCTAACTAGTGTCAGGTGATATCTCATTATGGTTTTTATTTGCATTTCTCTGATGATTAATGATGTTGAGCATATTTTCATATGTCTATTGGCAATTTGTATGTCCTCTTTGGAGAAATATCTATTCAGATCCTCTGCCCATTTTGTAATTGGATTTTTTGTTGTTGTTGAGTTGTATGAGTTCCATATATATATATATATATATATATATATATATAATTTTTTTAAGCAGCACAAATTTATTATTTTTTAGTACAGTAGTTCAGAAGTCTGGCACTGGGCCAAAATCAAGGTGTCAGCAGAGCTACATTTCTTCCTGGAGGCTTTAAGGGAGAATGTCTTCTAGCCCTTTTTAGCTTCTAGAGGCTGCCCACATTTCTTGGCTCCTAGACCTCTTCCCCCATCTTCAAAACCACAAATGTTGGGTCGAATCCTTTTCATGCTGCCATATCTCTGGTTCTGTTGCTTCTTCCCTTTTCCACTTATAAGTGAACCATGATAATTACATTTTGATAACACTGAGCCAGGATAATCCCCGATCTTGAGGTCAGCTGATCAGCAAATATTTTGGATATTAGCTCCTTATGGGAAGTGTTGTTTGCAAAAAATCTTCTCCCACTTGGTTGGTTGCCTCTTTATTTTGTTGATGGTTTCTTTTACTGTGCAAAAGCTTTTTAGATTGATTTAGGGCCGGCCGAGTGGCTCCGTTGGTTAAGAGCTCGCTGAAGAGCTTGAGCTCTGAGCAACAGCGGTTCGAGTCCAGCCCGAGCTGAGCAGCCACTGAAAAAAAAAAAGATTGATTTAGCCACATTAATTTATTTTAGCTTTTACTTACCTTGCTTTTGAAGTCAAGTTCATAAAATCCTCTTTGAACCCAAGGTCCCTAAGTTTAGTACCTATCTTGTCTTCTATACAGTTTATTTGTTCAGGTCTTATGTTTAGGTCTTTGATCCATTTTGAGTTCATTTTGGTACACGGTGACAGATAGCAGTCTAGTTTCATTCTTTTACATGGGGTTTTCCAATGCTCCCAGCACCATTTATTGAAGAGGCTGTCTTTTCTCCATTGTATGTTTTTTATTTCTCTGTCAAAAATTATCTGTCCATATTTTTGTGTGTATTTCTGGGTTCTCAATTCTATTTCATTGGTCTCTGTGTCTGCTTTTCTACCAATACTATACTGATTTGATTATTGTTGCCCTGTAATACAAGCTGAAGTCAGGGAGTGTGATACTTCCACCATTGTTCTTTTTTCTTAGGATCGCAATGGCTATTTAGAGTCTTTGTGGTTCCATACAAATCTGATGATTTTTTTGTTCCTTTTCTTTAAAAAATGCCATTGGAATTTTAATGGTGATTGCATGAAATCTGTATATAGCTTTGGGTAATATGCCCTTTTTACCTATGTTGATTCTTTCAATCCATGAACAGGGAATGTCTTTGCACTTCTTTTTGTTGTTGTTATTAGTTTCATGTGTACAGAACAATGCAATAGTTATCCTTTTCACCCTCACAAAGTAACAACCCCCCTCCCCCCATCTATTGCCTTCCCACCCCCGCTATCATGCTTATCTATTACAATTCCATTGATTCCATTCACACTCTCTACTCCATGTCCCGTGACTATATGTATATATAATTATAGTTGACATACAATATTATTCAACATCAGCTTCAGAAAAACAGTGCAGTGGTCAGGCCTCTACAT